TCTACAGGGGAGTTTGGAAGAGGCAAGAATGAATGGAAAGCTGGTCAAGAAAAAGCACAAAGGAAATACAAGCCGGAAAATTATGCACGTTTTCATCCTAGTGCCATATTTTTATTTTAAATACTGCTTACCCCTCCAAATAACCCAAAAGAGAGCGAGAGACTGAGTAACAGCAGAAAAAAATGTTTCTGCAGATTCGCTTCAGAGATTTAAGAAAAACTACTTTTGAGCAATATGTCTTGATTCTTTCACCTTCAAGAATTAAGTCTGAGACACATAGCTGTTGTTCTGACATTATGGCATATGCAGTAGATGTGTGATACTAAACAGACAGTTACTTCCGGGATCCTGGCAGACTTGGGTTGCTCAGGAAACACCACATCAAGAAGTCTTCCAGGTGTTCTTTACAAGGATAGTCAGGGTTTTTAGAAAAAGATCTGAACTGGGAGCTCCTTCCCTTTGGCAGGCTGGTCACAAACTACTGTAAACAATATCCAAAGCATAAATTATGCTTGATGGTTGTAAATCCAGGCAGGGAGTCACCATTAAATGTGAAGCTATCTAAAGAGATGATTATCAAGCAATTCCTTGTTTTAAAAACCAGGCACCTTTTTTATTCACTCATTGAACGTGCTGTCTTTTTATTGCTTTTCTTAACAAAAAAGGACAGCCAGGTGGCCACAATCCTTTATACTAAAGTTCATAAAAATTAATGAACACCTGTAATGATGGCTTTAAATTTGACACAGTGCTATAATGGTCAGCAAATTATTATCTTGCTCCTCCTACTCTACTCCCTGTCTGTCCTTTTGAAAATTAATATACCCCTGAATACAGCTTTGACTCCCTGTAACCATTTCTCTGTAATGGCTATAAAATCGTACTCCATTAACCTCTATTTGTGCCATTAGTTCACTTATTTTCTTCTGAATATTACAGAAAGTGCATTCCAATAAAGAGCCATTATTTTTGCTTTTTGGAGTTCACTCCAAAGTTGAAACTGTTCAGGTACTGGATAAAGTCTCCTGGCAACAGGCTATAGAGCCGATGGTGCCTACTCTCAACTCTACTCGTTCCAGAGCTGTCAGGTCATGGGGCTACAGCTTCATCCGAGGGAGGAGTTTGACCTTGCAGCTGTGGCTATTTGTTAATTTTCAGAAATCTGAGTTTTCAGGCATCCCCGTGGTTTCCTGTGTTACTGTCCTGTTATGTCTGCTTGCCTTCCACAGTTTTGGATCCTCTTAACCTTCTCAGTTGGGAGTCCCCCTGCCTTCCTTAATTAGATAGTGAAGGCAGAGATGGCCTGTTAATTAATCGCTTGTAGGGTTGTGACAGCATACTGTCAGCTGATACTGTTAGGGCTAAGACCTGTTTTTTGTCTCTGGAAGGTTTCACCCTTTTTCCTGTGTGATTCTGTAACTTTAAAGCTTTTCATGTAGTCATCTTGAGTTTATGTTTTCTCTGAGACATCTTGAAATTTTCAGTTCATCAATTTTCAAAAAGGAATTAGATAAATTTTTCAAAAGAATAAAAAGGCCATGGGGATAGAGTAGGGGTAATGGAGTAATTAGAAAGAGCTAACACTGGCATCATGAGCTTGGTGGCCTCCTGTGTGAGGCTGTCATTGAATATATTCAGAACAGAGATTTCTATAAATTAATGGTATTAAGAGATAGTGCAGGAAAGTGTTGTTTTGGCAGAAACAGCCAATATCTAGTTCAGTGGTGGAGCTTTAAAGGAAGACTAGCCAAATTTTGCCTGTTTTGCTTTAATATCAAAAAGTAAATTTGTTTATATAAAGGTGTGGGTGTATGTCTTGAGAACTGGATGACATTTTGTATCTTTTTAATTTTTCACTTGTTGCAAAATAATTGATATTAAGTCAGTATTCTGGATAAATATTTTAATTAGATACTCTTTGAGGTAGTAAATTTGGCTACGGAAAGACCATAAATAACAATTGTAGAGTCAAACAGCACAGAAACAGACTCTTTGGCCTGACCAGTCCATGCTGCCATAATCCCAAACTAAACTAGCCCCACTTGCCTGCACTTGGCCCTTTTCCCTTCAAACATTTCTTATTCGTGTACTTAGCTAAAATGTTGTAACTGTATCCACATCAACTACTTCCTCTGGAAGTTCACTCCACACGCGAACAACTCCGCGTTTTGCAAAAGAAAAGTTGCTTTTCTTGTCTTTTTGTTTTTAATCTTTCTCCTCTCACCTTAAAAAAAAATGCCTCCTCCCCCCATCCCACGCCTTGAAATCCCCCACTCTAGGGAAAAGACCCCTGCCATTCACCGTATCAATATCCTTCATGATTTTATAAGCCTCTAGAAGGTCACCCCTCAACCTCCTATGCTCCAGTGAAATAAATCCCAGCCCATCCAGTCTCTCCTTATAACTGAAATGCTCCATTATCCTGGTAAATCTCTTTTGAACCCTCTCTAGCTTAATAATATTCTTCCTATAATAGGAAGACCAGAAATGGACACAGTACTCCAGAAGAGGCCTCATCAGTGTCCTGTCAATCTCAACATAACGTCCCAACTCCGATACTCAAGCGGCTGAGCAATGAAGGCAAGTGTGCTAAATGCCTCTTAACCATCCTGTCCACCTGTTATGCAAATTTCAATGAATTATGTACCTGAACCCCTAGATCTGTTTTATGACATTACTCAAGGCCCTACTTGCATTTTGGTAAAACAAACAAAGGCAATACCTCGCATTTGTCTTCAGGCCATTGACCCAATTGATCCAGATCTCTTTGTAATCTTAGATAACCTTGATCACTGCGCACCATACCACCAATCTTGGTGTCATCTGAAAACTTACTAACAATGCTTTGTGTTTTCATCTAAATCATTTATATAAATGACAGACAAAAGTGGACTCAGTACAGATCCCTTTGGAACATCGCGGGTCACGGGCCTCAGTCTGAAAAACAACCCTCCTCTGTCTCCTGCCTTTAAGGCAATTTTGTATTCAATTAGCAAACTCACCCAGAATCCCATGTGATCTAACTTTACTGATTGGTCTACCAGGTGGAATTTTGTCAAAGGCTTTACTAAAGTCCAAGTAAACCATGTCTAACACTCTACCCTCATCAATCTTCTTGGTTACTTCCTCAATTGACTCAAAGTTTGTGACACATGATTTCCCTCGCACAAAACCATGCTGACTATCCTTAATCACTCCATGCCTCTCCAAATACACACACATCCTATTTTTCAGAATCACTTCCAACAACTTACCCATCACCGAAGTTACAGGTCTATAGTTCCCAGGCTTCTCCTTACATCCTTTCTTAAATAAAGGCACAACATTAGCCACTCTCCAGTCATTTGGCACCTCACTCATATTCATAGACGATACAAATATTTCTGCAAAGGGCCCCGCAATTTCCTTTCACAACTTCCCACAAAGTCCTGGATATACTAGATGCACTAGATCACTTCCATCTGTTCAGTTTTTATTTCTCATTCAGCTGGCTAGGCCAGCATTTATTGTGCATTTCTAGTTGTTGAGAGGGCAGTTAGAATTCAGCCACAACATTGTAGGTCTTGAGTCACTTGTAGGTGAAACCAGGTGAGGATGGCAGATTTTCTTTCCTAAAGGACATTGGTGATCCAAGTGTTTTTTTTATATAGCAAGAAAAGGAGGTTATGTGGTTGCTATTAGGCCAGCTTTTTATTGCAAATTTTTATTGAATTCAGGTTTCACCATCTGGTTCCAAAGCTGCTGAAACTGCAGACTGGTAAATAAGTGTTAACTAGGCTCTCATTTTTGAGTGAATTTGGGATAGGTTTGAGATTATGAAACTCCTCATGATTAACCAACAATCAGTTCTCTTTTTCGAAAAGAACAAGATTATTGGTTATAAAGGCTTGTGGGTTAACACCAATTTTTTTGGTTCGTTTCTATATACGTTGATTTTTGTATATCATTAGAGTTCAATTAATATCAAGCGTGCTTTGGTAATTATTTTCCAGTAGTTCCATTGTTTTAATTATTAGGCCATAAGAAATAAGGACAGGATTAGGTTGTTTGGCTCCTTGAACCTGCTTTGCTATTTAGTAAGATAATGGCTGAACCAACATTCCTCATGTTTACTTCTTTACCCTTTCCCATAACCATTAATTCCCCTACTGATCAAAAAATCTATTCCTGGTTTAAATATACACAAGGATTTTTCCCCACAGCTCTCTATGGCAAGGATTCCAAAGACACTCCACCCCAAGAGAGAAGAACTGCCTCTCCATCACAGACTTAAATTGGTGTCCCTTTATTCTGAAACTATGTTCTTTGGTCCTAGATTCTCCCATGAGCAGAAACATCATCTCAGCAATTACCCCTTAAGAATTCTATATATTTCAGTGGGATCACCTTTCATTCTTCTAAACTCCAGTGAGTAGGATCCCAACCAGTTTAACCTTTGCTCATAAGACAATCCCTCCATACTGAGGATCATCCCAATGAACCTTCTGTGAGTTGCCTCCACTGAAATGATATCATTCCTTAAATAAGGGACCAAAACAACTTACAGTACTCCAGATGTGGTCTCAACAAGTTCCTTGTACAATTGTAGTAAGACTTCCATATTCTTATACTCCACCCCCCTTGAAATAAGGAACAACATTCCATTACCCTTCCTGACTACCTGCTGTACCTGCATGCTAGCTTTGTGTTTTGTGTATTAGTACTCCCAACTGTATGTTGATCTCTAACACTGACATATTCATTAACTTGTTGGAATGAGAAAAACAGGATCCTGTATATGATGTATTAGTTAGCTAAAAATTAGTGGTATTCAACTGGTCTGCATCATTTTGTGTCAATCTGTATAGAGCTGTGTCACTCTGAGTGGCCTTACAGAGCAGATTTGGTGACCTAAAAGGTCACTAGACTATTAATTATCACTAGTGGTATTATCACTAGACTATTGAACCAGAGCCCTAGGTAAAGTTCTGGGGACCAGGATTTGAGTCCCTCCATGTACGATGGTGGAATTTGCATTCAGTAAAAATTTGGAATTGAGTTGTATTGTTGATAAAACCCATCTAGTTCACAGATGTGCTTTAGAGAAGGTAACTACTGTCCTTATTTGGTCTAGCCTATGTATAACTCCAGAACTAATGTAGTTGACTCGTAACTGTCCTCTAGGCAATTGAGGATGGGCAATAAATGCTGAAACAGCCAGTGATGCTCCCATCCTGTGAATAAATGAAAAGAAATCAGACCTTTATGGACCTCCTTTTCAGTTTGGTGGTTTTAAGTCTTACATTTTTTGAGAGACTGGGAAAGAGATAAGATTTAGATAGGGAATTGCTTTCTTGACATTGCAATGTACTGTTTGATCCAGCCATTGTCAGTTAGCCATTCTTCTCCAGATAAGCAATAGCTTTGATCCCAGCTGCCCTTTATAATTCCATATCTTTTTACTTAGCTTAGACAGATAATTGAAGGGAAGCAGTTTGAGAAATTGATATGTGTCTATGGTATGGTCTCTGTTTTAGTCACTTAAATCTTTCATAACAAGTATTATCGGTACTGCTTTCTAAAACTTAAGTGGTTTGAGAATGTAACTCATTTGCACCGTTGTGTTCACTTCCCTTCTGCTAACTAGGGAAGTATAAAAAGTGGAAGTGTAACTTTGACTCATGTTCTTATCTGGTGGCTTGTCCTGCCAGCCACTTCCCCAATGGTGGAACCAGGGTTAAAGTTTGTTTCTGCTTATCTTTCTTTCAAACAGAAGTTGTTCAGTTAGTTATTTGGAATTTTTTAAATCTGAAGATGGTGATCCATACTGGAGTACAGTTTTTATAGGTGTCAGTCATGCTCCTGTCTTGGTGTGGGAATATTCTTTGTAAATTGACGCAATAATTCAGCAAACCAATTAATTCAGTCAGAAGTTGCGCAACACCAACTTATAGACAAACAGGTTTATTTGAAATCGCAAGCTTTTGGAGTGCTGCTCCTTTGTCAGGTGAAGTGAGTTGTGATTTCAAATAAACCTGTTGGTTTACAACCTGGTGTCCTGTGACTTCTGACTTTGTCTACCCCAGTCCAACACCGGCACCTCCACATCACAATTATTTCCGATCATTACATCACAATAAATGGGAGTTGGAGTAGGCCATTTGTTCCATTGAGACTACTCTGCCATTCAGTAAGATCATGGCTGAGCTGGTTCTGGCCTTAACTCTGCCTGTGCCCCATAACCATTTTATTTCCTTGTTGATCAAAAATCTTTCTAACTTGACCCTGAAGACATTCAATGGCTGACTCCACCCTCTGAAACAGAATTTGAAAGACTAAGAGAAGACATTTCTCCTCATCCACTGTCTTTAAATGAGAGACCCCTTACTTTCAAACTGTGGCTCCTAATTCTAGATCTCCATTAGAGATCTCTCTACATCCCAACAGCATAAAAACATAACATAATTTTACATCCCACTTCAGATCCGAAGGAGTCATATTGGACTCAATGTTAACTTTGTTTCTCTTTCCACAGATGCCTGCAGATCTGTTTTTCTCTGGTGTTTTGTGTTTTTTAAGAAGGCTTATCTTTTTCCATAACTACTTTAAACTAATAGAATTATGATCATTAGTCCCAAAGTATTCTCCTACTGACACTTCGGTAACTTGCCCTGCCTTACTTCCCAAGGGAAGGTCAAGTTTTGTTCCTTCTCCAGTAGGAACATTTACATATTGAAGAAAATTTTCTTGAACAAGTTTAACAAATTCCTCCTCATCCAAGTGTTTAAAACTATGGCAGTCCCAATCAATGTTTGGAAACTCAAAGTCTCCAACTATTAGAACTCTATGATCCTTACATATATCTGAGATCTCTCTACATATTTGCTCCTCATTTTGCCTCTGACTATTGGAACCCTATATTTCAATCCCATAAAGGTGATCATCCCTTTCTTATTTCTAATTTCTATCCATATAGTTTCACTGGACAATCCCTCGGAAATATCCTCTCTAATTACAGTAGTAATGCTTTCCTTAAAAAAAAAAGCCACACCCCGCTTCTCTCTTGCCTCCCTTTCTATCCTTCCTACTGCATCTAAAACCAGGAACATAGAGCTGCCAGTCCTATCCTTCCCTCAACCAAGTTTCTGGAATAGCTTTGATGTCCAAATCCATATTCCCATACATGCCCTGAGTTCATCAGCCTTACCTGAAATAAATGCAGTTTGATTCTTCAGAGTTACCTCGTGTTTTCATCTGCTTTTTCTAATTAACATGCTCTTTTCTGATTCTGAGCCATCCTTATCTATGTTTCTGCATTCTCTGTTACTCAGAGGGGACCCCTATTTCCACCACTGCCCCCAAACTCCCCACACGCACGCATACATGTGCGCTAATGGCTCCCAAAATAGAACTAGTAAATCTCCCTGCCAGGGTATTGATCCCTTTGTAGTTCAGCTGAAGTCTATTCTTTTTGAACAGGTCTTTTCTGGCCTAGAAGAGATATTAATGATCCAAAAGTCTGAATCCTTGCACATTGTACCACCTCTTTAGCCATTGACTTTCTGCCCTATCTTATTATTCCTACTCTTATTAGAATGTGGCACCGGGAGTAGACCAGAGATTACAAGCTTTTGAGGCTCTTCTTTTTTAAATTTTCTACCTAACCCCTCATATTCACTCTGCAAAGCCTTACCCCATGATAGACCTCCAGTACCTTTGGGGAAGTCTTGCTCAGCTTCAATCTAACACCTATAGTAGATCTCTAATTATGGTGATATAGGATTAAGCAAACTCTCTCAGGTAATTATCCAAGAAATAGTACAGATTGGACAATATGAAATTAGATCCACTCAAATGATAGGTTAGGACATAGTTAGGCCATTTTGTCTGTTTTGGGATTCATATTTTTAGAAGAATCAAATAAGAAATGTAGTAGATATGGACCATACAGCCATTTGAACATCCTTCGCCATTTGAACATCCTTCACCATTTAATAAGATCATGGCTGACCTATTTAAATTCCACGTACATCCATTATCCACGTACCTCAAAGTCTATAGACCTTTTTCTCGAATGTACTCAAAATCTGAAGATCCTCTCACTTTCTGGAAGTAATGTTTCCTCATAGGACAAATCCTCATCCAGGAGTCGGTTCACTGAACCTCAAATGCAACTATGTGCTTACTTTTCTTTCCTTCCTATAAAAGGATGTAATACTTCAAGTCATTAGGTGTAAGAAACTGGACAATACTCTGGTGAAAAGAAAATAAAAGAAGTGAGTTAAATCTGACGATGTCTTAATGTAAATAGGAAAGGACAATTTGAACCAATTAACAGTTCGGTAATCTGAGAGCATGGATCAGGGCTACCCAAAGTAGGGGCCAGGAACTTTAGGGCTGCAACCTCTGAGGCAGCAGTGACTGCCATGGCAATTTGAGTTGTATCAACTGCATCCTGAACTAAAAGAGGCTACTGATTAATAGCTTAACATAGAAGTGAGAAACAAACAAGAGCAGAAATTGCTGGAGAAATTTAGCAGGTTTGGCAACATCCGTGGAGAAAAAAGAGCATTAATGTTTTCAAGTTCTGTGACCCTTCTTCAGAAATGAGCTTGTCTTAATGGGTTGAAACCTCCTTCCTTCTCTTCTCAGATTCTATTATGATAGAGCAAGGTGTGCATTTTTAAAATGATCTCCTTTCATTTGGTTAGAATAGAGACTATTTTACTTTCTTTTGTCTGCCCTTTTCATTCTTTATTGATAGATTTTTGTGTTTCATTTGTTTTCACCCTGTAGGTGGTGAGACTGTGTCAGAACCCCAAAGTAGGGCTAAAGAACAGCCCTCCCTACATTCTGGATCTGTTGCCTGACACTTACCAGCATCTGCGCCTGATCCTGACTCGATATGAGGGAAAGATGGAAGTCCTTGGCGAGAATGAATATTTCAGAGTCTTCATGGAGAACCTGCTTAAGAAGACAAAACAGACCATTAGCCTTTTCAAAGAAGGGAAAGAGAAAATGTATGAGGAAACCTCACAGCCAAGGTAAGAGTTGATTTTGTTTCCATTCTGAATTTCTTAATGCTGGTGGTCAGATGTGATGGCATAACAAACAACATAATTGAAAGCGTGTATTTTAAGAGCTATTCACAATTGTATTATATATGTAACTTGCCAGTGTACAAAATTTACAACCCAGAAATGTAGTATTTGCACTGTCTAACTGTTTGTACCTAACTATTGGGAGTCGGTCAGCTCAGTTGGCTGGACAGTTGGTTTGTGATGCAGAGTGAGATCAACAGAATGGATCTACTTCATACACTAGCTGATGTTGCCATGAAGGACTCTTCTTCTCAGACTCTCCCTTTGCCTGAGGTGTGGCAACCCTCAGTTTAAACTACCAGTCGTTTCTCCCTCCTTTAATGGGAAAGCAACCCTATGGTCTGGTAAGGCTATGGTGACTTTACCTTTACATTACCTAATTATACAGCAATTCTGGTACAAAGCACCAGCATGCAAAGGTGGCAAATTAACATATGTAAAGTATAACATTTTCAAATGATTGAACACTCCTCTTTTTGCAATTAATGCGTCACAATCTGTCTTTCAATGTTGGCAAAGCCAAAGAACTGATCATTTCTTTCAGAAAGAAAGGAGGAGAACACGCCCCTATCTACATCAACGGAACGGAGGTTGAGAGAGTGAACAGCATCAAATTCCTCTGAGTGATGATAACTGACGACCTGTCCTGGACTTCCCATGTAAATGCGACAGTCAAGAAGGCACAATGTCCATAAGATCCTTCGCCAACTTCTACAGATGCTTTATTGAAAGTATATTGTCCAGGTGCACAATGGCCTGGTATGGCAACACCTTTGCCCAGGCCTGTAAGAAACTACAGAAGGTGGTGTGCACAGTCCAGACCATCACAGAAGCCAACCTTCCATCCGTGGACTCTATTTACATGGCTTGCTGCCGCAGGAAGGCTGTGATCATCATCAAAGTCCCAATGCACCCTGGTAATGACCTCCTACAGCCCCTTCCATCAGGCAGAAGGTACAGAAGCCTAAATACACGCACCAGCAGGTTCAGGAACAGCTACTTTCCGGCTGTTATCAGACTCTTGAATGGCCTCTAGCCTCAAATAATGTAACCTGTATGCTTCTAAGTCTTTTTGATCTGTACATCCTTCGATTGCTGTGATCTGCCTGTACTGCTTGTAAACCAAGCTTTTCGCTGTATTTTGATATGTGACAAATTCAAAATCATATCTGACCGGATTAGTTAACAACTGAGAGTGTACTGGATGCATGATGTGATTCAGCACACTTGGCTGCTTTTAGATTTCAGCATGAAAATTGAGAAAATAGTGGAAAATGGTGCTTAGAATAGAGCTGAAACTTGGAGCTTGTACCTTGGTTATCTTTGGAATGATGGCAGTGGTCTTGAATTCTTTTCCTGAGTTATCTGGTTATCCTGAGACTAATCTGAGTCTTATATGCAAACGATTTATTTATTTAGCCAATTTAACAACAAACTCTTAAAATTAGTCAACATCTTAAAAAAAGACTGACACAGCTCCCAAAAAGCTTATGCCTCAATAATTAGAGATAGTAGGAACTGCAGATGCTGGAAAATCTGAGATA